AGATACCTAAAGATAATTCTTTTGAATTCCTTATCAGAGAGTTCCAATGCTGCTTCTTCCTCAGGGATGTGTTCTGGGTCTGTATCCTGCTCTCTTGTTTCTACCACTTTATCTTGCTTCTTTGTGTGGATTGTGATGGTCTGTTGTCTCCGAGACATTGTGGTGTTATTGTATTTAGATCTCCGTTAACTGTTTGTGAAGAGCAGTCATGGGTGAGTCAGGCTGTTCTTGGTGGTTGTTTAGCGTTGGCCCGTTGGTGGAGAAAGAAGTGGTGGCTCTCACTCAGTAAGTGAAGCTGCAGGAGGTGTGGGTGTAGTTGTGTCATATGGGGACTGTTGCTGTCTTCCACTCAGACAGAAATAACAACTGAATAACCATCAAAAAAGTAAAGGCAAATGGACAAAAAATACACCATGTAATCACACGGGAACAGTAACTAAAAAAAAGGAAAAAGAAGAAAAAGCAAAAAATACCTGAAATATCTGGGGAGAGGGCAATAAGAGAAAAAAGGTAAAAAGGTAGAGAAAGAGAATAATGAAAAAAATGGGAAAAATGCAAAAAAGAAAAACAACAGAGTCAACCATGAGAAAGAAAAAAAAAAAAAAATTGCAACCAGGAACAGGGAAAAGAAAAAAAAGCTGAAAACTAGAACCTGGGAGGGGAAGAATAAAGAATAATAGTAAAAAGGACAGAAGAAATAATAGTAGTAGTTTTAAAGCAGACAAAAACAAACAAACTGAAAAACAGAAAAAACATGGGGACAGGGCCAAGCAGGGCACCCAGGCTCCGTCAGAGCAGACAGACTGGGGTGGAGTTCCTGTGGGCCCAGAAGGTGGGTGGGAGTAAGGGATGGCTGCACCTCCATTCACCAAGAGGGTGTGAGGTATAAGAGTAACAAGGGGAATGTCACACCTTTCCAGTCGTCCAGGTCCAGAATGTCCTTGGGTTCCTGACAAGAGGGGCCTATTCTTAAGTCCCTGGAATCTGGGGGAATGCTGTTGCTTTAAATATTCAAAATGGTCAAGCTGCTTGTAAACATTCAAAATGTCTGCACCCTCCGGACAGACAAAAGTCCACAGCTCAGCCCGCCGTCCTCTTCGCTGCTTCCCCTTTTTTTTCCCAGCCACCAGTGCAGTCCTCTGTGCAGTCACTGGCTAGCAGGGCTGATTTTTAGGTTAATTCTTAGGTACTGCCACCACTCGGCAATATCCAAGCTGTCTGTGCCATCAGGATCACTACTAGATCACAGCTCCATGTGTCCTTTTTTGGTGTTTTCATGCAAATTCTTCTGCAATTGGAGTTTGTCTGCTTCTATATCCTTCCCTTCAAGGCTCAGGGGTCCAGGATTATCTTCTGTGTCTGTGTTAATTGATTCCCCTTTTCTTTGTTGTAGAGGGTCTGTGCAGTCTTTCTACCTATTCTACCATCTTACCGGAACTCTTCAGAGCTCAGATAGTCACTGTGGTGTTTGAAAATAGGCATAGAGAAGTTGTTTCCAGACAAATCATACCCCTTTCAGTCATGAGGAATAATTTTTATATAAATTGGCTCAAATACAGGCTTGGAAAATAATTTTCCTCATGAGTTAGAATTTGATTGCCTGAAATAAAAATATGATAGGATGGACAGCTTGGCTCTGAAATTTGCTCACAGGCCACAAGCAGGTGCTAAGTAAGGTGTCTTAGGGGACAAGCTCCAGGGTCTGGAAAGGGGGAATAGGAAATAGTCTCTGGCGAAACCCGAGCCGTACTGATTGACGCTGGGGTGTGCGGTGGGGAGCGCACTGAACTGTGCCACCCCAGCCCCATGATCTTGCCATTTATTCCCTGCTGAGCTCGGCCATTTCTTCATCTGTTCTGTGGAAGGGACAACGCTCAGCCCTACCAACCATGGTTTATGAAGGCATTTGCAGGCTCAAGATGCTGCTCAAGTGACAAGGATTATTCATCTCCATTTGGGGATTTCTTTCATCTGGATTTTTGTGAAATCCCTGGTCAGTCCTACTCAAGTTGACACAGTGCCTATAACAATGGCCCCCATTTCCCTGACCCCATAGTAAGCCAGCCTTTCTGACTGTCAGTAATGCAGGTGCTGTCCTCATCTTTCAGATGAAGATCTCGAGAATGAGAGCAGTTAAGTAACTTGTTCCAAGTCTCTGGCCACAAAATGGAGGAGATGGTGATGCCTGGGCTCTCTGTCTGAGGCCCACTGTGTGCTCTTCACCACTGCAGTGAGATCTCCTACCCAGCAACGTGAGAGGTGGATGGTGAAGGAGTCAGGTGGAGGAGGAGGAAACTGAGAACAGAGAGTAGGCTGAAGGCCTAGGGTAGGCTTGATTAGGGGTGGGAGGACGTTATGGTAGAGAGGTCATCACAGATAAACACCCATGTCGGTGGCACACCCTATACTCAATTTCTAGGCTGCAGCATAGCTCTGACTGAAGGCCATGGCCTGGCACCTGTTGGGCTGACACCCATTATGTCTTCAGAAGAGGAAGGAGGTCTCTGCTCCCTCAGAGAAGACACACAGTGCGGCGCAGACTCTCTGAGTTTCTTTTCTCCCAGCCACACTCAAGAATATCTGTGTGTGAGCAGTGAGAACACTGCCCACATACCTGACCTGCCAATCCATGGTTAACCAAGCTGTGTACGATCCACAGAGGCTCGATAACCCAGCCCTGCCCGACTCACACATGGTAGTTCTCTTACAGACCAAATGTCACCAGTACTGGCCCGACCCTCCCGACGTCATGGAGCATGGCAGCTTCCACATCCGGTGCCAGTCGGAGGATTGTACCATCGCCTATGTGTTCCGAGAAATGCTGGTCACCAACAGCGAGGTGAGCAGTGCCTGGCCACAAGTGGTCTGGGGAGGGCACAGGAACTATGTTAGCATCTGCTGTGGTCGTGTTTGGGCTGTACTTAGAGGTCTGCTTCACGTTTTCTCCAGTGACCATTTCAGTAATAATACAAAACTGACCAGACAAGAGCCAGTATACCAGGAACCAACAGGAAGAGATGGCTGTGGTTTGAAATGGTCAAGGAAGCAGGCCGGCAGGAGGGTGGATGTTTTGAGAGTAAGTTGGTGGGTGAGCAGTAGGCCCAGCATCAGCAGGGGCCACAGTCGGACCGTGCACCACGGGAGAAGGAGTGTCAGGAGATAGGACTGTTCTGGCTGGTGGCTGGGCCGGACCAAGGTCTGCAGTGACTCACCAAGGGCACCGTGTCTTCCCAGACAGGAGAAGAGCACACAGTTAACCATCTCCAGTACGTTGCATGGCCTGACCACGGCGTTCCTGATGACTCCTCAGACTTTTTGGAATTTGTAAACTATATGCGGTCCCTGCGAGTTGACAGTGAGCCTGTCTTAGTTCATTGCAGGTACTGTCGTGTGTTGTTTTTTTACATATATTCCTTGGGAAAGACTTGGAGAAAGTCAACAAATATCAGACCTACTTTCAACTCTGCTAGGCTGTGTGCTTTTACAAAGTTCTATTTATTTCTTTACTATTTCAAAAGACTGGAGATGTTCTGACATTACAGACTTCCGTATGTAACAGAGCCGAGGAAGCAAATCCCATCCACAGTCTTCCCTTTGTCCTCCTGTTTGTGAACCTTCAAGACCAATGAGTGAGAGGGGGGTGGATTTCACACTCAATGGTGGGTTTCTTCCATTGGTTCTTAAGCCCAACAACCTCGGAATATATGAGGATAGGCTCTTTCAGGCATCTGAGAGAGGCCCCTGACGAGAGTGTGTTTTGTATTCTGGAAGATCAAGAAAAGAGAGCTCTTTCTGAGCAAAAGAGGAAACGAGGTAGGAGTTAAGCTGGGCCAGACAGAAGTGCTGCTTGGCCCAATCCCAAGTCTCCTTCTCTTCCTTCGCCAGTGCTGGAATAGGTCGGACAGGTGTGTTGGTCACTATGGAAACAGCCATGTGCTTAATTGAACGGAACCTGCCTGTCTACCCACTGGACATTGTCCGGAAAATGAGAGACCAGCGCGCCATGATGGTGCAGACGTCAGTGAGTAGAAACTCAGTAATAATAGCAGCAGCAGTGCCTGTCACCTATAAGGGCTGACCCCGGACCAGGCTACACTGAGGCCCATGCAGATCTAAGGCCTGAGGCTTGAGGGATTGAGTCCCTTGCCCAAGGTCACAGAATTTAATGGGGGCAGAGTGGCTGCAAAGCCCACACCTGTCTAACCTCTGCATTCCAACTCCCTCCTGTGTGCTGCCTCTGTGGTTATTTCCTATCAGCCTCTCGGTCGGGGTACAGCCCTGATTACATTGCGCATTATTGAGTCATCAGAAGTAACCAAGGCCACCCAAGGCTTTGCACCCACCCACATGTTCTAGGTGACCCTTTGGCCTTTCACACAGCTCTACTCCCTCCTCCTTGGGGCTCTCTCCCACTTACATAGCACCTGAGTTCTTGGCACATCAAGTGTCTACCAGGCAAACTCAATAGACAGTCAGTGTCCAGGGCTTTTAATGGGGGCTGATCTTGTAGGCAAGGAACTCTGGTGGAGCTTTGGTTAAAGCATTGGGCTGCTAACGGAAAGGCTGGCAGTTTGAACCCACCAACCACTGTGCAGGAGAACCATGGCAGTCGGCTGCTATAAAGTTACAGCCTTGGAAACCCTATGAGGAGGCTCTACTCTGTCCTGTAGGGTCCCTGTGAGTTGGAATCGACTCAATGGTAGTAGGTGAGCGGGAGGTGAGTCACAGAGGCACCTCTGCCTAGCATGTGAGCCTCTGCTTTTCTTGTCGGCATGGCCACCCTACAGTGTGACCTTTGCCCTTTGCAGCTTCCCCTGATACCCCAAGACAGCTGCTTGCCCCTCTTGTGTTTCCATGACACATTGTCCACCCATGTCGGAGCAACCCCCCCACCCTCATCGGATAGGAATTATTAGTTCACAATGTGTCTTCTGCCCTTTTTCCCCAAACACATAACACGGAGTCAGGCCTGGTCCAGAGTTGGCACCCAGTGAGTGTGAATGACGAGAAAGAATAACCCCCTATGTGGTATCACGCCACACTCTTGGAGTTTCCCGCCTTGACTGCTGTCTTTCCTCTTCCAGAGCCAGTACAAGTTTGTGTGTGAAGCAATTCTACGTGTATATGAAGAAGGCTTAGTGCGAATGCTGGATCCCAGTTGAGACAGCTGTGAAGACATTCATTCCTCTTTCCCAAGGACATCCTCCTTCAGGACAGACCTTCTCTCTGAAAGCAGCAGGAGGAATCTGTGTGGGCTGTGGGAGAGGAATGAGCACATTGGAAGCCAGGCACTTTAATGTCTCTAGCAGAGGTATCCTGTCCATGGGAACTGTAGATATGCATGCCGTCATGTATAGCATTACTCAGAGCTATCATCCCTGTGGGGAGAGAACATGGGGATCTCAGTCTGGAACCTGTCCTGATCGTCCTACCTAGACGTTGCTGCACCCGCCGGCCACCCTGGGCCACACAGAAGGAATGCCAAGAGGGCTGTTGACCTCCCACAAGCACAGTGCTGTGGTTCTTTGGGGTTGCGTGGATGTTTTTTTTGTGTGTGTATGTGTACAGGAGTGTAAGGGCCGAGCTTTCTGCGCTGCTCTGTGGCGCTGGAAATTCAAGTTCACGCAGCTCTGAAGCTAAGGACCCCTGATGAATGTACTACGGTGGGGGGTGGGCTTTCCGAGCGAAGAAAGAGCAGTACCTACTCTGCCTTCCCTGCTGTTTCCCGTCTCCCTGCCACTTCCGGTGGCCATGTTTCTGAGGAACATGTTCCCCTGCCCCCCTGCTTTCTCCCTGCATTCCTGACCCTTTTCAGGTTCATACGCAGTGCCTGCACCGGAATAATAATGCTGTGATCCGGTGAATTTTCAGTTGAGGCTCTGAGAACTAGGACTCTCAGTCTTGCCGTCACGTTCGTTAGTTCTAGAAGCAGGTGTCTCTCGCCTCTGCGCACCGCTTACTGTACATTCAGAATCCAGGACTGGAATCATTTACTACTGAATCTGCTACACGTGTTGCTGCTACTTCAAGCTATTACACTTGAAACATTATGATTCTCGCGAGGGGATACGGGATGATGTCATCTAAATATTCCAAATCGGCGGCCCTTCTCAAAAAGCCCTAGTCATGGAACCATGGGAAACCCAGCTTCTGGAGGGTCGTCCGTGGGTGTGTGCACGTGCATGCAAACCCACGGGTGAGTGTTCTCAGGATTCCTAACTCGATTCCGATGACAGTTGAGTTTATATAAAGAATGAGTCTCTGTATAGAAGAACAAATGCGTGCATTCACCCTCAGTTGCAATGGTCTCCATTTCATTTCAAAGGAGAGGATCAGACTATCTGAATATAAACACAATTTGATGTTAATTTATTCTAAGTAAACCATGATTTTGATTGTCCTTAAAGAATCCTGCCTTTGTTAGTACTGTGTTAAATTTTTTAAAATTTGTGACAGGATTGTAGCAAATTATTATTTAAGGAAAATAAATTACATAAAAATTTTAATGTGGTATTTTTAAATAGCTGTTTTGTGTATCCGGAAGAGGAACTAAGCCAGTTTCTTAATGGTATTTCTAGAAAAAGGGTGCTTTCATATTAAAAAAACCAAACCAGACTCACTGTCATCAAGTCAGTTGTGACTCGTAGCGACCCCCTTTGGGTTTCCAAGGCAGTAAATCTTTACAGAAATAAATTGTCCAGTCTTTCTTCCACAGAGTGACTGGTGGGTTTGAACCACCAGCCTTCTGGTTAGCAGTCAAATGCCTTAGGCACTACGCCACCAGAACTCCCTTTCACATTATAGTGCATACGAATGAAACTATCTTGCTATTCAGCAAACTCTGGACAAATTGAGTAAGGAGTTCTGGTAGCACAGTGCCTAAGGCATTTGACTGCTAACCAGAAGGCTGGTGGTTCAAACCCACCAGCCACTCCACTGACGGAATATGAGGCAGTCTACTTCTGTAAATATTTATTGCCTTGGGAACCCAATGGGAGTTGCTATGAGATGGAACCAACTTGATGGCAGTGGATTGGACCAGTTGAGTAGTTTCCTGGTTTCAAGATGGATAAAGAACTATGCAGCAAGGGCCAGGTTTCTAAGGGCACTTTATCTCTAACCTGCTACACTTACTTGCACACTTCCCATCTTTTTGCCACCAGTATTTTATTGCTAAATAAGAGGGATGAAAAGAGGTTATACAGTGCTGCAACCTCATACTGTGGAACAAGAAAGGCTGTTAGAGCCTATATGACTAGGAGACCAGAAGAACTAGATGGTGCCCAGCTACCACTGTCAACCACTTGGAGGGAGATCTATGTAGAAGATCCTGAATAGAGAGGGAGAACAATGTGGAACAAAACTCACAATCATTTGGGGGGAAAAGGTAGGGGACCAGGTTTGCTGGTCTGATAGAGCCTGGTGGAACCACTGAGACTGTGGCCCCTAGCTGCCCTTCAGGTCTGGAATTGAACCCACACCTGTGGCTTCCAGCCAAGCAAAAGACGGGCATATGAGTTGAGCATTTATACTAGGTAGATACACTCCTTGGAGAGAACAATTATGGGAGAAAGAAGGGCTGCTTATGCACAGGGGGACAGCTCAGGGGGCAGGAGTGCATGGAGGGATGGATACAGGGAAGAGGTAACTATGGGGAGGAAGTGGGAGGGGAGCTGTTGCATTGTAGTAAATTGTAGTCAATGTCATGAGACAAAGTGTACGTGAATTGCTGTATGGAAAGTGAATTTGCTGTGTAAATTTTCACCCAAATCATAATTTAAGAAAAAAAAGGTCGTTAGAATGTAGCAGGAAAACGTAGAGCTAAGGGGTAGGAGATTGGGTTCTTGTAAAATGGGAGAAACAATACGCAGGCATTAGGTGGATTGTGAGGGTTGAATAATATGCTATGAATGTGAAAGGAATATGAATTTTCATCAGCTGGAGTATAACTGACACTACTATGGATGAGTTCCTTGGAACAGTTAACTTACTAGCGATTAGCCCAAAACATCGCAAACAAATGGAGCCGTCAAGGGTTTTCTAAGACAAAAGTGCTTTTCTTCTAGGGAAAGCAAGAGCACAGAGGAGTATCATACCAGTTGTTCAATTCAGTTTCAGAAGAATTTCGTCAGCAAAGCCCCAGAAAGCAACTGGGAAGAAGACATGCTGGCACACATTGAAATGCCATCAGGATATTTAGCAAATGATTGCCATTTGGTGAAAACGTGTCGTCACCCTGTGTGCTGAAAGCTGACAAGTCTCCTTGTGTGGGGAGATTTGCGTTTTATTTTTCGAGTGAAACCGTGAGAGCCAGAACTCAGCCGGACTGCCTGGTTTCTCCAGGTCTCGCAGGTTTTCCGCCTTTGACACGGTGCAGTCTTACCACTTTTCTATCACTCATTTTAGTGGGAAGTATTTGCACTTTCCTTCTCTCATAGGTTTCTGCCTTACACACGTTCCTGCTTTCACAAGTTTTACTATATATTTTTTTTTTTTTTTAAGAAAATAAATTGTTTGATATGGTTGCAGGAATGTTGCCACCGTTGTTACATACTTTTCTAAAAAACCTACCCTTTTCCTTCCACTATGCTGGACGGCAGTTCAGATTGAGCAGATGTTGCATGAAATGACGGGAAGGAACAAGACGAGAGTTATCCACAGGGCCGGAGTATATAAGTGAATACCGTCAGTATTACCAGTTAAGTTCTGTAGCTCGAGATTCCTGTTACTACCTTATGCATTTAAGCAATGAACTCAAGGAGACATTTCCATTCCTAAGTAAAGAACTTCATCAGAATCAGGATACATATCATGCCTGGGGAATTTGGCTGGGGTTGAGTGGAGAAGACAGTTAACCTTACGTTCTGGAGCTCCAAGGAAGTTTAATTAGACACATTGATGTGCTGACTTATCAAGATGGGGAGTCCCTGCTGGTGTCACCCGATAGAACCTGCCTGTGTGTTTTGACCTTCCAGAGAGAGAGAGTCAACTCTTTGGGGTGGTGAGTAGATGTGGTTGGATCACAAACTTTCACTGGTTGTAAGTTGCTACCACAGTAATTTGTACTTTAGGATGCCTTTAGAATAGTGTTCATGCTGTTGTTAATGCTTTGCTGGTTAACGTTTTTTCTTCCTCAGAAATTATCCTTTGAGGGCAAGCAACAGGGCTTTTCATCGTCCAGATGCAATGAAGAGGCAGCATTGTGAGGAAAGATAGTAAGAGGCAGGACTTGGCTCTAGACTTGGGCTTAATTAAGAAAGATGTGTTGCCCCTTGGCTCACATCTGTACACATCTGTAAAAGGGGAAGATGGGCCTAGACTAGATAAACTCTTTGGTTCTTTCCAGATTTAACAGTGTGGGAATTTAGGATGCCAGAAAATCAAAATTAATCCCAAACCAAAGCTGTATAATTGCTATAGGGATATTTACCACAATTGGCCTCCAAGGACCAGCCCATAGACCTAGGCACTGTTGAATGCAGAGAAAGGCCTGCCTCCCTCCAGTCCTTGGCATCCTAAGCTGAGCCAAGTCCGGTCAAGAAGGCCTGGAGAGCCAAACGTGTGTGAATCTGATGGCCGCATTGTCCCACCATCTTTATAACTCACATTCCACTTGGAGTATCCAAAGAATTTGTGTTAAGTCATGTGGTATTGAAAAGTATCTTAATTGAGCAGCAATATTTTTTTCTGTAAATTTGGGATTTTTTCATTCTGACCTGGTTTTGTCAGTGATTCTACTGAAAAACAGTTTGATCAATGTAAAAACATTCAAGCTATGCAACACTACTGCTGTTGATGTTTTTATTCTAATAATTGTCTAGCTTTATGAAAGTGTATTCTTTTTCATTTGCTCCCCCCCCCCTTTTTTTTTTAATAAATCCTAAGTCTTTTGGAGGGCCGTGCTCTCTGCCCTGTCTCCACCCTCCCTCTGGACAGGAGCATGACATCTCATGCACAGTACCTTCTCTGCCTTGACCTTGGGTTGCAAATTCAAGATAAGAATGGGTTCAGCTGCCAGTGACAACAGTAGCTTACACAAAGTAGATGTGTATTTACCCCCTGATACAGACAACGGGGATGGCTCCATGACATCAGGATCACCCCTTCCTTCCAGCTTGTTCCTTTGCCATCCCCAGCGTGTAGGTTCTACTCTGAGGACCAA